CCATCTTTATCTATAAAGTAGGTATGATTGTTATTCTCATTTTACAGATGATGTAACGGAGGCTTAAGGAATTAAATAACTTGTTCCTGATTCTATAACTAAAGTCACAAGCCAAGAGTCAAATCCACAATGCTGACCCCAGTCTACCTGTCTAACCACTAATGTATTAATTTATATTATATTATTCTATTCAATTCTATATTGAAGTAGCAAAAGAAAAACGGTGCCCACGTCTGACGTTGGTTCATTCTTGGCATCTGCTGGAACATCGAGGAAAGCCTTCTCTGTAAGGCCATAATTTCCTCCATGAAACAAACAACAAATCTAACCTCAGTCTCTTGAAGCCTTCCTCATTTCTAAGCACATGGCTTGTTTTATCATAAAATGTCTTCTCACGAGCAAATGCCTTACTGTCTACATAGCCAATGACCGATTCAGAATTCGAAAGGAAGAACGCAGCCTGTTCTCCAGCCACCCACTTCATACTCGTGACACCCAGGAGGCCCCCAATGCCAGGGTCCCTCTCATTAAAGGCGTTCCCCATGGGTTACCTACCAGGGTGAGACCAAGACTTGCCTTGAAATGAGACCACAGGGAAGGGAGCCTCACCCCGCATCCCGCACCTTGAGTTTCCAACCACTTCTCTCTCCGAGCCAAATGCCCACCTGCAGGGGTGCAGCAATGTGTGCATCGGTACCCCATTGCTGCGCTTTCTTTGGTCACCGGCTTCTTGTAAAGAGACCGTCTCCCCATCCTTTCTCCAAAGTACAAAACTGGGTGCCCTGAGCACAGAGCTATGCCACCTTCTCGGGTCGCTCCGGCCGCCTCCTGGAGATATGAGGCTGCTAGTTTTGATGCTTTGAGGTTCTGAGCTGAGGGATCCTAGGTATTGAACGCAAATACTCTGACTGCTGGAGTCAGATGCAAAGTGGAAAATTTGCAATCAGAGCTCACAATTTCATGTTTTGCTTCAACTTCCAAATTACTGAGAGAGTAAACTTAGTAATGCCTATCTACCTCTCAGGAGGAGACAATCAATGAAGATTTTTGCCTTTTTCTGAAACTCCAAAAACTAAGGAAAGTTCATGTTTTACATTCCACCCGCACTGCACAAATTAATGGGCTTCTCTGTTCAGAATAAGCAATGAAGACTTTGTCCTAATTGGGAGGACTCCAAAATGTTCTAAAAATTTTTTCTGGTCCCTCTTCAAGTCATTTTAATTTTTGTCTGTTGCACGGTCTTCAAAATTAATTTTCTGAAAGGGCAGCTTTATATATTATTATGCTTTTCTCAATTTGTCTTTCTATGAGGGTTATAAAGTCAAAATTGGCTGATTAAAAGCAGCCAAATCATTTCTTTTACCATAATTGCTTCTTTTGATTAGGTACATGGCTCTGTAAGTTATACCTGGCCCTCTGATTACTCAAAATGCTTAACTCCCTTAAACGCCCTTTGTAACAACATATTCTGTTGACATTCCAGAATGCTAATGATAATAATAATATGAACCACTTTAATTCAATGATACACTTTACCAATTAATCCAAATGGCACAACGTACCCCTTTTCTCCTGTTATTTTAAATTTTTAAGTTTTTAGCTTTTAAAGACAGCCAGGGTAATTGAATGGTAAATGTCCTGCGTGGCAAGACCTTGCTGCTGAGGGCACGTTCTGCTCTCTTCAGACAGCTGACAGTGAAGTTCGATCTGGGAGGAATATTCTAGAAGCATGTTTCCTGCTGTATCAGTGTGTGTGACATGAGCCCTCTGGACCGCTTGTCTGCCCCACACAGGTTGTGTTTCCATGGTGGGTTGAAATGCAAACCCGACTGTACACATCCACGCTCTTTGTAAAGAGGTGGTATCTCTAAGGAGCGTCTACGCAGAGAACGTATGATGACCACAGGAAAAGAAAAATGCGCAAATCGTGTGACATGGTGCAGGGTTTCCCCACGATGGGACATGGAGCACTGGTAATAAAATAAAATCGCTGCAGATGGTGCGTAGACACACTTTTGGTTTACACGGTTATCTATTTATTTGAATACCTATGAGGGAAAACATATAACTAATGTAATGGGCCCCCAAATGTTATGGCCCAAAATGCTTAGGACAAGTAACAGGCATGAAAACTGAGTTGATTAAGGGAAAAGATTAAGAAAGTATTATTTGGGTGGTACTGAGATGAACACAAACATCTCAGGCTGGCGTGACAATGGCTGGAGGTGAATACACATCACAGAGTGGGACAGGGCATAGGGTGGGACCCTGGCTCGGCCACGTAATAGCTATTAGGCTCCACATCTGAAAAACCTCCAAGGGCCTGCTGGGAGAATTGTAAAAAGCCACCTACAGCTGTCAGTATGGGGCTGGCCTCCTGCTAAGCTGTCAGTGAGTGACGACTGCAATTATTCATCACAATAGAAAGTCTTCTTGTCCCAAGGACCCATCCAGCTACAAAACTGAGCAAACTCCTGGCCCTGGGTGAATATGGGCCCAGAAGAGCATTGTTAGATGCTTTTGCTTTTTTAAAAGAAGAATTGATACAAACATGAAAACAAAATGGCCTTTAATGATAATTTTTGCTTTTTTAAGCTAAAAATATGTGTGTACTCTGGTTGCTTATTACACAGCATTACCCTTACACCCCCTAAGGAACTGCGTTTTTTTAGTCCTGACATTTTCTAAAGCGTTAAATGCGGACTTTTCACCTAATTGGCTCTTAATAAAGAAGTATGTAAGTGGCATCATATATATATATATATATATATATATATATATACCACTTGTTTTTAATATTCCTCATCTACTGTGACTCTGGAAGGCAGTAAGTGTTCACAAAACACACAGCTTTTGTCTAGATGTGTCTTGTGACATCAGTAAGGAAATCCCCCTATTTTATTAAAACTACCGGAAGTGCTCTAACTAGTCTCAATACTGGTACATTCTTTGTGCGGTGTTTCTCTCCCCCATTTCTAAAACTGCACACACAAGTCTTAAAACATCAGCAACAACGTCTGATCACTGAAGGCACATTCAGCTCTTCTCTACTTACCGAGTGCGGGCTCTGCTCGGAGTCGAAAAAGCAATCCTAGTTCTTTCCCTGTATCCGCACTGGGCACTTCAGAGGTGAGTAAGTAAACCTTTGCTTACTGGCTGGTTTTCTAAGCCGTGAGGGGTAGATTACTCAGAGCACAATCCCACATCCCCACTGAGGGGACGTTGGTAATTTCAATGGTTCAAAATCTTTTCTAGGCAGACAAAAGGCACAGTCGAGAGGCCCGCCCTCTCCTCCCTGAGTCACACTGCGACCCAGAGGAACTCTGATGAGTGGCTCCACATCCCTGGACATTCATAAGTGTCGTCCGAACCGATGTTTAGGTAATAGTTGAGCTGTGAATACCTACTGCACGTACCTGACCTTTAGGATTATAAGGGTGGACAATTACATTTTTAATCCCCCAACAGTGTTTCTGAAGTATGGCCTAAAACGAGCAAATGACTCACTTAAATGAGACTTGTTTCTATTCATTAAAGTTTGATGTCTAACAGTAGAAATTTGGGGACAGCGATATGCTCAGAGACAGAAAAGGGACACACCCATTCCACAGAGTGTGCTGCATAGCCCTGAATGGAAATGAGGCAAATCTGTGTGTTCAGGCATCAGGCTGTCCGCAATGCAACGTACAACCAGTGAGAAGCAAGAAGGAATGGTACGGAGTGTCTGAACGCAACCCCAGCGCATGCACAGGTCCATTCTGTCCGTAGGAAAGTTCTAGAAGGACACGAACCAAACTTTGCACAGTGGGTCCCTGAGTAGAGAGAACAAGAGGGCAGGGCTTTCAGGGTTTATTCCAAGTAGTCCTGTCACAAAGTTTTGTTATAATAATAACTTGCAATAAGCATTCTCATTTTCATAACCTTTTGAAAGACAAGAGTGTGTTTTGACTAGCACTATCTATTGCTTAGATTTCGCCCCATGCTACCAGAAGTCATGGTCTATATACCTCGTCCCTTATATATTTGGTTTTCTTTCCTCAACTTGACAGCTCTAAAATGACATGTCTGCTCCACAGCCATGTTCGTGGGGCCCTTTTCTTCCACTGTGAGGGTCCCTCATCAGAGGATGACTTAGAGCAAGGGTGGGCTTTGGTTTGGGGTTTGAAAGCAAGAGTTTGAATCTTAGCTCCATTATTTGCACGGCCAGGCTTTGGGTTGCAAGGGTAGGAACCCAGGAAGCTCCCTAAGATGAAGCGAAGGTCACCGTAAGACTGCAGATCACACCTGTCAATAAGCCATGGCCGGAGCACCTGGGAAACGCAGGAGGGAGCTGAGAAACCCTCAGGGGCCCGGCCAGCTGAGTCTCCACCCTCCTCCCACCCCGCCCGACTGCACGCTTCTGTTTTCTACTTCATCCTCTTCTCTGCAAATAGATTCCTCTTCTTTATCACGGCTGTGCTGCTCAATAACTCATTGGCACATGACTTTTCTTGCTATGAAATCTATTCAGGCCTGGAACCCATGAGACCTTTCAGCTTCTCACCTTTCCTGAATCTCTTATTAGGAGATCATGAGAATTAAATGAGGTAACACTTTGTTTAAAAGGCTCTCACATTTCTTGACAAAAAATACAAAAGATACCCAACTTCTTTAAACATCAGTATCTTCAACTGCAAAATGTAAATAATAATAGTATCCATGTCATAAAGCTTCTGTAAAATTCTTAGTGTAGCACCTGCCCTATATGGGCACACGTTGCCTTACTGCGATTCACTTTACTGTGCTTCACAGATGTTCTGTTTTTAACAAACTGAAGGCTAGACCCTCCACCAGCAAAAAGATTGCGACTCACTACATCGTGGTGGTCTGGAACCGACCCATACTATTTCAGAGGTATGTCTGTAGTAATGGCTCAATAAATGCTAGGTTATGTTATTGCTACTGCTATTGTTATTAAATCTGTTATGATTTATTTTAAGGATTTTCAGAAAATGAATTACCTGTTTAATCCAAGTGGGTAGACATCTGCATGCCTCCATTCCCACACAGGTTCTTGGAGCGGAGGACATCTTATCATCTGGTAGAGAAGTAATTATCTTGACAGATCTGTAAAACAAATCATTAGACATCAACAGTCTCTCAAGGCTGGACGACAATGAGAAAAGGCAGATGCGTTCTTATTCCTGTTGGAGGTAAAGGGAGCTGGAGTTAAATGGACACACTGACAGCATCATTTAAAGCAAAGCCTACCGAGAGCCCTTCATTAATCCCTAGCCAGGAGCTAGCTCATAACATCAGAAGGGAAAAAATTCTGCGCTGCTCACAGCCCTCTCTGCGTCTTGATCCAGTGGGAAAGAATTTGATGAGGCACCTAACAGGTAGTTCCTTGCCAAATTATCAGACATACAAGAGATTCAAGCATCAGCTTTTTCCCAAAGCATCCGATAATCCATCTTATTTCTACAAATCAGGAGGAGCACCTGGCATGAACTTTGGAAATGCCGTAACAGACGGGCAGACCTGTTTTACTCTCATGTTTCTTATGAAATTAATAAACGATGTGCCCAGTGACACCCTAAACATAACACACCACCGTCTGATTAATGAAACATGTTAGTTCAGCGACCAGCGCTTAACATTTATTATGCTCAGTGACGGTCTTGTCTGAGCTATTGAAATAACAGGTGTTTCAGTGATGAAAAGTCAAGACAAAAGTGTGAAGTGGAGGCTTTCACATACTTTTCTTTCAGAGTTTGCAGCAACACAGTTTTTGACAGAGGGCTTCTGACTGCTCAATTTGATGGCCATACAAACTTATAAAAGCTGACGTACAGGGTTTCCCAGGGGAAGACATAATGAAATAAATGCACTCATGAATATGTATGGCTGGAGAATGCCATCTGTTCTCCACCAAACTCTTTTCTTTCAACAACTCACAAATACCTAGCCCCACCTCCACACTTACCCCACCATCCAGAAAAAAATACACACACACACACACACACACACACACACACACACATCTTCATCTGAAGAGTTTAAAAATCAGTCATGTTTCATCTAAGAGAAGAAATATAATTGCAATAGAAATGCTTTTATTGTCAGACTAAAAACAATAAATTAATGCATCCAAGAGCGTTTGTGCAAGTTCTGTGAGCCCTGAGGCCCCCGCCACTCTTCCACCCTTCTGGAATTCCACCCTTACTCATCACCTAAACTGGAAGTCACATGAGCCTGCCTCTGGGGCTACAAATCTGAGAAACAGCACGCAAGAGACATCAACAACAGCAGAGAAGATAAAAACTCCATCCTTCAGGAATTAGGGATGAGCTCCCGTTGATGTATATTCAAGTCCAATATTATGAATTTCCCCTCATCCCCTTAGAATCCTTTACTCATCACTAATTTTCAAAACAGAGCATGAGGCCCCCTTACTGTGCAAAGGTGACAGAAAGAAATTTTCGAGAAATGAGAAAATATAGTCAACAAAGAACAAGAGAGGAATTTCTTGGAAAAACTGATTACCAAATGATTTATTTGCTTATTTAGTCACCTTCATCATCTTTGAAATGCATAAAGAACACTTGTGCATTGTTTGTAAAGTAAATGCATATGAAAAGGATAATCACTCCCAAATGCTTTGCTTCACAATGTGGACTCTGAATATCTCATCTTCCCAAAGTCAGGAATGCTTCTATCATGTCTCTCTCTCTTTTAGGAGAAAAACAAGCTAAGGTGAAACTCTGGTCACAGCAAAACTGGACTTAGAAAACACAAAAGCATGGCCACAGCAGCACCCCCTGGCTTGAATCCATTTCTCAGACTAGCCTGCTTGTAGATCTAGTCTGTGACAAACCATTTGTTTCATCAGGAAACCGAAAACCACAGGACAACGATGTCGCTAAATTCCAAAAGACAGTGAGATGGATGAGAAGAGCTTGTGTGTTCTGAACGAGACAACCAGGTTTAAATCCTGCCTTGTTTAGTTAGTAGCAGTAGGACCTCGGGCGATCCGCCCAGGGTCCTATCACTCTGTATTTTTATCTGTTAAACCGAAATAGCAATACCAACCTCGAGTGCTATCAGGGGGATCATTAGGTGACAGTAAATGGAAAAGCACTCTATCAACAAAAGGACATTGTAAAAGAAGTCTGACACACAGGCTAACAGGAATTAATTTACAAATCGCGTTCCTAATAAAAATAAAACGCATTTACTCTGCAGTCACTTCACACCACCAGGCACTAAATGGTCCCTTCTACAGATTCAGTTGCACTAATCTTTGCTCTCTGGACCTGCTACAGTAGCAGGATACTGAAAATAAGGTGAAGTATTAGAGTGGAGCCTCACATCTACGACTCTTGAGAAGGTTCCAGAGCCAGCACCACATCCCAAAGGGGAAGAGAGCTCTGGGGCCGGTTTGCAGAAGACATGTCACATCTCTGTGGCCAGCTGCCTATCAGTGAGAACAAGTGATTGGGTGGCATTGTCTCAAAGGCCTCCTCAGGTTCTGAAATTCCGTGATGCCTCGTGAGCGGCGTGGCAGAACCAACCCTGAGATGGGACCCACCCACTGCCGCCTGGTTTTGGATGAAGCAAGCTACACACCCTCTCTGGGCAGCAGTTCCTCCCCATGTCCAGGGAGGGATGCACTCTGTATCTTCTGAGGTCCCCCAGCTCTGACACTGTGGCTGCTGGAACATAGCTGAAGTGGAGACAGGGGTCTGAGGACAAGCCGCCTGGAGCCATGTAAATTGCTCCCAAGGCTTTAAACAGAGGAGGTGGGGTCACTGTAATTCAACACAAAAAGTTTCATCTTCTTTAGCAGAATTAAGGCAGAGCTTGATGAGACTTGTGTAAGCAATACGATTCTTTTTAGACCAATCAGGGGCCTAGAAAAAACACATCACAGGTTAAATTTTTTCTAAAGGCGTAGTGCCTTGTTTTTTTAAATTTTTCAAAAAGCCAGAGAAATGCTACATCCTCGGAACATACGTCAGCTGGGCCCATAAAGCTTTTCACAACTGGAACGTCACAAGTGTATTTTCCAAATACTTCAAAGTTGTAAATGATACGACTTTTACCCAAGGTAGATGGTGAGACCAGCTTGACAGAAACGCCAAATTTTGATGGTTCCATGATTAGTTTCGATCATGAAAATCTTTCTAAATCACATGAGATCAGCTTCCAAAAGGTACATTCTAATACCGCACCGGATCCTATATGAAACAAGCAAGCTAATTTAATACAAAGTTTTAGGACAAAGGGACAAATGGCCACTGCAAAGAGAGACACTGTGGCCATCAGGGGACTTTGATGAGTACCAGGGCTGCCCCCAGGATCTCCGCAGCACACACCGAAAAATGCTTCATAGAACATGCAAATGTTGGGCAGTGTGGTGACTCTTTTAGATTGGCTAATAAGTATTTATTTGGGATACACGTCTTGTGGGCCTGAAGCTTGAGTAAACAAAAGGCTTAGTCAGTAAAACACTCCTAGTGAGTGGATAGAGACTACAGTTCAAACTTTAGCATTGAAATTCAGCCTGGCTTCCATTAGAATTGCTCCATTTCATGTATTTCACTATAAATTCATCAAACAAAACAGACAGGGATATCTGGGACCTAACCGCTTTCTTCTTTGGAGACCACTTTGTTTTAACAGCTTTAGGAATGTACAATTTACACAACATAAAATTCACCTGTTTTAAGTACACGATTCAGTGACTTTCAGAGTATTTCCATCACCCTGCAAAGATCCCACAGGGCCATTTGCAGTCAACCCCACTCCCTGCCTAGACGGCAGCTAAGCTGCTTGCTTTCCATCGGTTTGCCTTCTGTGGACATTTCATCTAAACAGAACAATACAATAGGAAATCTTTTATACCTGGCTACCTCCACCTGGTTTAACATACCTGAGGTCCATTTACGGGGTAGTGTGCATCCTTATTTAGTTCCCTCTGACAACTGCACAGTATTCTATCGTGTGCACATAGCACATTTTCCTTATTGCCTCTTACAGATGTTTGGTTTGTCTCTACTCTCGGCTGCTATGCACACGTGTGTGTGAGTCTTTGTATGAAGACAGGCTTCGGGTCCCTCCCCACACCCGGCGGCGGAGACCGCTGTGTCAAATGGATTCACGTTTCAAGAAACTGACAACGTGTTTTCTAGAGTGGCTGTAGCATTTGACATTCCAGGGATAAAAAGGAATCCAGGTTCTCCACATCCTCACCAACACGTGTGATTTTCTGTCTCTTAACTAAAGCCATTTCAGTAGGTATGAGGTAGGGGCTTCCTGTGGAGACGGTTTGCTTTTCCCTAATAACCGATGGTGTGGAGCTTGTGGTTCACATGCTGATTTGTCACCCAGACCTCTTCTTCCATGAATGTTTATTCCAATCTTTAGACCAGTTGTAATCAGGTCATTTTCTAGTTATTGAATTGTAGGAGTTCTTTATACACGAGTCCTTTATTAGATATGTTCTTTGCAAATATTTACTTCCTGTCTGTAGCTTATCTTTTCATTCTTAAAGTTGTGGCCTTAAATAAAGCACAGAAGTCTTGGACGAATTTCCATTTATCAATTTCTTTTATGGATCACACTTTTGATGTCGGATCTAGGTAGTCTTTGCCCAACACAAAGCCACAAAAATTTCCTTCTAAAAGTTTTAGTTTTCATTCTTACATTTGGGTCAGATCCATTTTGATTTAATTTTTGCATGTGGGCTGAGGTACTGGCCGAAATTCATCTCTTTGCATGGGCACACCAGATTGTCTATTTGTTGACAAGACTATCATTTCCTCTAATTAAATTTCTTTTGCTCCTTTGTTGAAAATCAACTGATCATAAATATAAGATCACTTATTTTATTTTATTTTTTTTTAAAGATTTTTATTGGGGAATTGGGAGAATGGGAACAGCGCTGGGGAATTGGGGAAGGGGAACAGACAAGTTGCTGTCGTTTTGTTCTTCAGTCTAGTTGTGGAGGACCTTGCTTCACTGGCCCCAGTTGGCACCATCATTGCGCTCTTTCCGGGCGAGGCAGATCAGTCGCCAGCTTCTGGACGGCCGCTCACTGCAGCTGCTGGCCGCTCACGCT